AAATTCCCAGGCCTTCTAGGCCTTTCTGAAAGCACAGGCAGAACACCAACAGTAGAATCATGTCTCCATTCTCACTTTTACCCGCTGAGGACTCTCATTTCTCCAAACGAATGGGGGTCCAGCCACTACCCCACCGCCAGAACACCGCCGCGAATGGAGATACCATGCCATTGAACGTAGACGCTCAACTCATCTACATACACCCACCGACCTCAGAACATGCAGCCTCACAACACTCCGCAATTGCAGCCACAAAACCTTCACACTGACAATGTCAGGATGCTGCAATCCTATGCCCACCGGTACAATCGTTGTAAAAAGACACGAAGACACGAAGGCGATGTAATTTTGTATTGTACAACGGCCACGGCACCAACGGCAAACATCTGAACCAATGAAATCCAAGCACGACAAGACGGCAACCCTAAACCGGCAAGGTGTCCTTCGGGACATCCGTTAAAATTGGAATGATACAGAGTAGATTAGCATGGCCCCTGCGCAAGGATGACACGCATAAATCGAGAAATGGTCCTTAAAAAAAAAAAAAAAAAAAACCGGCAAGGTGTCAGGTCAGCGGTCTTGCTTTGGCCATTTCTGCCGCTGGACTTTTTGGCCCAACACCTGAACCATAGCTGGGTAATGGTCCCAGACTCCCAGTATTTGCTTTCCGGGTTGTTTGTGGAGGGATCCCCGGCCTCCCCCCTTTTCGGTATAATGAAAGTGATTTTTTTGTATTAAAAAAAAAAAAAAAAACCCGGCAAGGTTTCGGCGGTAAAGGTCGCTGGCCATGGGATGCTCGCCGCAACTGCGTCGCTAAGCTGTCACCCACATCTGCGCATGCCACACATTACAACTACAACGCATGCTGGTGGGACCTAGGCCCAACGGGGTGACTACGGGATGGCGTAATTTGCTCTGCGCATTTCTGGCGTTTCAAGACTTGGTGCTCTCCTCCCCATAGAACGCGTTCGATGTCAGTCTTCCAAGAAGGCAAGCAATTTCACCAACAGTAGAATCATGTCTCCATTCTCACTTTTACCCGCTGAGGACTCTCATTTCTCCAAACGATGCTGGGGATGCTGGGGATGACTGTGCCGCGCAGCTTTGTGTAGGATCCTCATCGTCGTGTGTGAGAGAGAGAGAGAGAGAGAGAGAGAGAGAGAGAGAGAGAGAGAGAGAGAGAGAGAGAGAGAGAGAGAGAGAGAGAGAGAGAATACTGCAGAGGCGAGTGAGAAAACGAAACAAGCAACTGCCAGGCGAGAACTTTTAGGAGGAGGCCGTGGAATGGAGAGAAGTCCGCGGTGCAGCGTTGTATAGGGCGAGATCAGCACCGGCTGCCCGATCGAGGGGCATACGCCGGGTTTATTCTGTCAGCTGCTGACGGAAGAGGAAGGGAACACGAAGCAAGAGGACGGAGAATTCTATGTGCCTCCCTTTCTTTGAACGGAGTTCATTCACTTCAAGGAGGTAGGTAGACTTGTCTTCTGCAGTCTCTGTTTCCTTTTGCCAACTCTTTGGTCTTTGGGTATACGTGAAAGGAGTTCATGGACTAAGTCTGACCTCCGGATACACTCAAAGAAGTCTTCCTGTGAGTATGCTGTCTGAGGGTTCTCTTGCTGCAGGAATTTAACTGCCGTGTCAAACTCGGTTCACTTACTTGGCGATCTCTGATTCTCTGGATATGGTCCTTCTGTGTTTCTCTTCCGTCTTCTTCTCTTCCCCGCTTGTTTGTGTGTGCGAGCGCACGAGGGAGAGAGAGAGAGAGAG